GTTTGTCTTCCAAGTGAAAACTTCCTATGTCATAGATCTTCCAGATTCCTTGGCATTCCTGTGGATCATCCCAATGTGAGTAAATTGTTTCTGCAGCTGAGTGACTGAATTAAGAAAACAGCTGAAGGCAAGCACAGGATCATGTTAAACCACAATAAACACACGTGTTGGATAGGCCACTCAACCGTATAAGAAAGACTTAAGACATGAAATTTGTGTTTGTTTGTCACTTATAAAGTTTGCTTTTAACTATGCTTGAGTATTAAGACATTTTAAAGACTATACTTTGTACTACTAAATTCATAAAATCTGAACTAGTAGGTTTTATGGCAAAATGGTTATACAGTTATTACTGATATAAGCAAGATGAGGACTAAGTTGCATGGAAGCAGAAACTAATTTTAAAAACTAAAACCTAGAATATGTGTTTGATGTATTGTAAGCAAGCTGCCCCTAATCACTGAATATTATTTATTTTAAATATTTATATAGAGCTTTTGTTCAAGGAGCTCAAAAATGTTTATATGCTATGTTTGAAAATCTATGGTAAAAATGAAAAGATTACTATTGTTCAGAATTTCTTTCACTTCTTTTCTGTAACTTCTACGGCATTTTATTTGTTTAATTATTTAAAAGATTTATTTTTATTTCTATGAAAGGCAAGTTTAGAGAGCGAGGGAGAAACTAACAGAGAGAGAGAGAGAGATCTTCCATTTGCTAGTTTACTCCCCAAATGGCCACAACAGCTGGGGCTAGGTGAGGTTGAAGTTAGGAGCCTGGAACTCCATCTGCGTCTCCCACATGGGTGACAGGGGCCCAAGCACTTGGGGGCCATCCTCTGCTGCTTTCCCAGGTGCATTATCAGGGTGCTGGACCAGAAGTGAGGCAGCTGGGACTGGAGCTTATGGGATACCTGCATCAGCCGCTTAAACCACTTTGCCACAATGCTGGCCCCCTTCTTTTGCGTTCTTTGTGGATTCCTAGTTCCTCTTTCCAATCAACTCTATTCTTTTAGTTTGGGTCTCCACCAGCCTCAGTATTCTACATGTGCATGAGAGGTAAGACACCAGGCTTATCATGACAGGAAAGTAAAAATGTGTTCATTTACAGTGTATATGAGCATTTCTCCTTGGAACACCAATTTGTTGCACTCCTATTAGCTACCTGAAATAGAAGTTCTACTTTTCTTTAGCCCCACTCAAGATCTAGCAGCATTTATATTGATTTCAGCTTAAGATATGAATAGAATAATGAAGGAAGATTCTCTTCTTAAATAGGGGCTGGCGCTGGGGTGTAGCAGGTACACTGCCTGCAATACCGTCATACCATATGGGTGCCAGTTTGAGTCCCAGCTGCTCCACTTCCCATCCAGCTCTTTGCTATGGCCTGGGAAAGCAGTAGAAGGTGGCCCAAGTCCTTGGGCCCCTGCACCCATGTGGGAGACCCAGAGGAAGCTCCTGGCTCCTGGCTTCGGATCAGCACAGCTCTGGCCATTGTGGCCAATTGGGGAGTGAACCAGCAGATGGAACACTCTGACTCTCTCTCTCTCTCTTTTTCTCCCTCCTTCCCTCACCTTCTCTCTCTGTTTAACTCTGACTTTCAAATAAATAAAAAAATCCTTAAAAAATAAAAAAGTTGCTGAAGCCTCTACATAAATAGAAAATGCAGAAACACAGTCAAGTTATCTAGATGCTAGTATTGGCACAGGAGAGCAGATGACTCTATGCCTTGCAGATCTGGATTACCATGGCAGTGAGAATAACCCATCAAAATAATTCAGGTCCTCCTGGATTCGATTTCTTCCTTGATCTGAATTAAAAGTTTTCCTTGGGGCCAAGTGCCAACATCCATTATGGGTGTCATGTCGGTCCCAGCTGCTCCACTTCCAATCTAGCTCCCTGCTAATGTGCCTGGGAAAGCAGCAGAATTTGGCTCAAGTGCTTGGGCCTCTGCACCCACATGGGAGACCTGGATGAAGTTCTTGGCTCCTAGTTTCAGCCTTGCCCAGCCCTGGACATGCAGCCATCTGGGGAGGGAGCCAGCAAAGAGCTCTCTCTTTTCTCTCCCTTTCTCTTTCTCTGTAACCTGCCTTTCAAATAAATAAATAAATAAAATGTTTTCCTCAATTTTCTTTTTTTAAGGATGTATTTACTTCTTGAAAGGCAAAGACAGAGAGAGAGAGAGAGCGCGCTTCCATTTGTTGTGTTGGCTAACTCCCCAGGGCTGGGCCAAGCCAAGGCCAAGAGCCAAGAACTCCATCCAGGTCTCCCATATGGGTGTAGATGCCCAAGACCTTGAGCCATCCTTTGCTATTTTCCCAGTCACATCAGCAGGGAGCTGGATAGGAAGTGGAGCAGCTGGATGCTCATGCGGGATATCAGCATCACCTAACTTGCTGAAGCACATCAGCGCTGTCGGTTTTATTTTACATTTCATTGCCCTTGTAAAAGCCCATAAAAATGGTATAGTGAAGCCCTTGACAGATCACCATAAACAAACAAATTTTGTATCTATTCGATGTATTATAAATAATGTCAGGATGCCTGGAGAAAATAAATATCTTGTAGTAAATGGTCAGAGCTTTTTGTGGTTTTGTGCACTGTCTTATATCCAGTATCTAGCATATAGATGTCATTAAATAAATATTTGTTGAGGGGCCGTCACCGTGGCTCACTTGGTTAATCCTCCGCCTGTGGCGCCAGCATCCCATATGGGCACCAGGTTCTAGTCCCGGTTGCTCCTCTTCCAGTCCAGCTCTCTGCTGTGGCCCAGCAGGGCAGTGGAGGATGGGCCAAGTGCTTGGGCCCCTGCACCCACATGGGAGACCAGGGAGAAGCACCTGGCTCCTGGCTTCGGATTGGCGCAGCACCAGATGTAGCGGCCATTAGGGGAGTGAACCAACGGAAGGAAGACCTTTCTCTCTGTCTCTTTCTCACTGTCTATAACTCAACCTGGCAAATAAATTTTCAAAAAAAGTAATTGTTTGTTGAATGAATAAATGAAACCCTATAAGCTGTTGTGTGGTTCAACTAAGAAAGTTAGGTTTAAATCAATGTATTTCAGGTAAACCCACTGCCTACAGTGTCAGCATCCCATGTGGGCACAGGTTCTATTCCCATCTGCTCCACTTCCTATCCAGCTCTCTGCTAATGCACCTGGGAAAGTAGTGGAAGATGGCCCAAGTACTTGGATCCCTGCACCCATGTGGGATACCCAGAAGAAGCTCCTGGCTCCTGACTTCAGATTGGCCAAGCTCCGGCTGTTGTGGCCATATGAGGAGTAAACCAGCAAATGGAAGATCTTCCACCTCTGTCTCTCTCTGTAACTCTACCTATCAAATAAATAAATAATTCTTTAAAAAAAAAAAAAAAACTAATCCCTGGTATTTAAAGTCTGAGAATTCAAAACCTAGCCTTCCACCAAGACTGATGATATTATAGCATCCTTCATCTGTACCAAGCCAGGGAGTTAACTTTTCTTCCAAATTCATATTCTGAAAATATATGAAATTAATGTCCAGGAACCTATGCTTTAACAAAGTAGGTATTTGTTAAGGACATTTTTCTTACTGATTGGCAATGCTTATGAAAGAAGACATCTGGCATCAGCTTTTTCAAAATAATGTACAAAAAGTTATTCTTAGGTAGTAATACATGGATAGGAGGTTTTTGTTTGTTTTTTTTTTTGTTTGTTTGTTTGTTTTTGACAGGCAGAGTTAGACAGTGAGAGAGAGAGAGAGACAGAGAGAGAGGTCTTCCTTCCGTTGGTTCACCCTCCAAAATGGCCACCACGGCCGGAGCACTCTGATCCTAAGGTAGGAGCCAGGTGCTTCTCCTGGTCTCCCATGGGGTGCAGGGCCCAAGGACTTGGGCCATCCTCCACTGCTCCCCCGGGCCACAGCAGAGAGCTGGCCTGGAAGAGGGGCAACCGGGACAGAATCCGGCACCCCAACCAGGTTTAGAACCCGGGGTGCCAGCGCCACAGACGGAGGATTAGCCAGGTGAGCCGCGGCACCGGCCATTTTTTTTCATTTTTAAAAAACATTTCCAAAATACTTATTTTTATTGATTTGAAAGGCAGAGTTACAGAGAGAGGAGGAGAGACAGAGAGATCTTTCGACCACTAGTTCACTTTCGAGATGGCCTCCCATCTGCTGGTTCACCCTTCAGATGGCCTCAATGGCCAGGGCTGAACCAGGAGCCAGGAGCTTCTTCTGGGTCTCCTAAGGCCAGGGACTTGGGCCATCTTCCACTGCTTTTCCAGGCCATTAGCAGGGAGCTGGACTGGAAATGGAGCAGCCAGGACTTGAACTGGTGCCCCTATGTGATGCTTGTGTTACAGGCAGAGGCTGAACCCACTGTGTCATAGCGCTGGCCCCAGAAGTTGTTATGTAGTAATGGTCCTTTGGACTTTTAAACAATATCTGTTTCTTTTTTCTGAAGAAGTTTGCTCAGATTTATTTGTTTCTGGGTTTATTCTCAGGCTGATGATTTTCTCTCTCCATTTTCTCTGTCATCTCTAATTAGCCACCTTCAATTAAGTTACCTTTTCTGCATTGGCTTAAGCTTTGGACAAGCAGTTCAAAAAAAAGTCATCAGTTTTCAAACATTAGACCTTAGCCTCATAATGGTTTTTCACTGAGAATTCCTCAAATGTATTAGTGATTAAATGAAAAAAAAATTCTCATTGGTTAGAAATAGGAATCTTAAAAACTAAAAACTTTATACATTTTTAGAATAATGCCATTTTCTTTGACAGATGGAATGTAGTGTTATGTAGTATAATAATTTAGTATTAATTCCAAGCATAAATTGATAATCAACTTGGGCCTCTAGCTATAAATGAAATTCAATAGGTAGGAGAACTGATCGACCACCGACCCCCCATAGGTGCTGTCCCGCTATGGAATCCCTTCGCTCAGTTTTCTCCTGTCCAATCAGGTGGAATGTTTCACAGGCACATGGTTTATACAGCTCAAAATAACTTGGGACCTGCAAGCTGACAAATGCTCTGGCTCCGGTGGTGACAGGTTGTCCAGCTTCATACAGCCATCTTCCCTGAAACTAAGGTTAACTCCTCAATCTCTATGGACGGCTACTCTCTATTTCCAAGGGCGTGAAGAATTTTACTTTTCTCCTGTGCTTTCATCTGGAAGTTCTCCTTGGATAATTATCATCGCTGTGGAGTGCCTGGCTTGGACATCCTCATCTGGGTCAGCTAAAAAAAGAAAGGTAATATCCAGATTTAAGTGTACAAGTGTACTTTGATAACAGGGCACTGACAATGGGAAAAGAGATATTTCAGAAAGCTAGTTCTGTTAGAGTGAAACCTAGGATAACTTTCTAATTATGTATGATCAACACAAAATTAAGTGAAAAATAAAGTTTTCTACGTGTAAAGATTTTGGAGGGGATTGATGAGACACACAGAGATCACAACCTATTTGAGTCCTAAAGAAAAATGTCCCAACTAGGGAAGTTGTGACATGTTGCATATATCATTGGCAGTTTTCTACACATTGTTTTGTTAAAATAATGTTGCTTATAGAGAGAATAAATATGCATTGCTTATTTCCTTTTTAAAGGAATTCAAATCTAAAATAATATGACTCCATAGTTAAAGACTTTCATTTAAAATTTTTTTTATCATGTAAAAGGATACGCTTGCTATTTTTAGTGTTGGGAGATCTGCACTCTGGATTAATGTACACAACAGCTGCAGAAAGTCTTGCTCAAGGGACATTGCTCTTTCTTTCTCCTTTCTCTCTCTCTCTCTCTGTTACATTCTCACTGTTACTCTTTTTCTCTCCCTTTCCAGCTTCATCAGAAACACACTTGACAGTCAGGGGCAAATGTTTGGCCTGGGATATTGCACTATTAGCAGTAATTAGATGCACATCTTGAATTCTGTTTTTAAAAACTGTATAGTAAAGAAAAAGAGAGGAGGGACTATTCTGTAATTCTAGTCCCAAAAAATGAACATTACAGTAATAGTGTCAAGAAATTTTCTTACCTTACCAACACATTTTCATATACTTTTAAAGATATTAGCATCATTTAGTTTCAAAGAAATGAAACTGCTGCCTGGTTTTCTTTCTCAAAAAATTATGATAATTTAATTACTGTCCTCTTAGTAATTATTAGTGAGATGAATTCTTTATGCTGTAAATTAAAAATCTGTCAATACTTTATCGCTTCTTCTTAATAACTGTTAAGATGACATAGAGTCCAGGGTTCTTTTCTAGGAAACTGAGACTATCTATACTTGAAAGAATAGTAGACATTTTTTCTAAATGAAAATTAAGTTATATTGTCTGACACATGGTTTTACAGCAAGTAAAATATTTAAAAATCAAGGCCATTCCAAGAAGCCTGAAATATAGACCTTATTCTTACAGAAGTGTCAAGAGACAAAATTGTAGGCATTACAGAATCTTACAATAATGGGCTCTGAAAGAAATAGTTGGATACTTTCCAAATTCTGGAAGTTTGTCTCTATTCCTACTTATAGCAGATGGCTAAAGCTTTTGGAACTCACAATAATGTGTTAAAACCCTAGCCTTTCATATATTTAAAATTTATAACATAGACTCTATTATGGGTTTCTATTACAATGTGCTTACAAAGGTACATTTTCAGTGGAACTGACTCATAACTGCAACTTATGAGTAAAAGAAATGAGTTTTTATCCAAACTGGTTTTGGAATTCATAGTGATAGTTTTTGCAAATTTATTTTTTAACAAGTAAAATAGCAGATAAATTCAGTCTCATTTTGAAAGGACTTTTATGAAGTAATGTTAGTATGTGAAAAGATAACAGTTCAGTTTTTCAAGTGTTAAGTCCTATACATGATAGAAATAATGGAACCAGTTCACTAACCCTGAAAAGATAAGGCAAAGAGTAGTACTAACCCTAGAATAATTAATTTCCTTCATTCGTAATGAGATCTGATAAAGGCATTGCTGATCTCATAGTGTTATTGCCTAAAACAATATAGAAAGAAAATAAATTCTTAACAGCGTTTTCCCCTCTCCTAGGGGATAAAAAAGAAACAAGCACCACATATCTTAAATTTCTATGGTGCTTCAGATTTGACAGAGTGCTTTTAAAACTATTAGAGCATTGCACATTTGCTTAAAGGGAACAAGCCATCTAAAGACAGAATGGTTTGTTTAGAAATGTAAGAATCTTTTCAGCAGATATATTTTTGGTGGAAACAAAAATTGAAGTGACTGTTTACCTGCAGTAACTAAAGAATTCTCTGAGCTTGTGAGTCACCTTGACAGCTCCGTACTGGCTGCCTGGTACGCACACTGACCTCCCCTTGGAGTCACAATACACTCCACACTCAGGGAGGCCCAGCACAGCCTTCCCACCAAGGTGAACTAGAACTAGGTCTTGAGATCCCAAGCTTATTTGGGGCACCTACTGTTTCTCTCTCTCTCTCTCTCTCTCTAGCAAATGTGCTATGTCAATTTAAGTAGGGAAGTTCTCTTTTTTCAAATCCTTAATCACCTAAAAAATAAATGACACAAATATTAAGAGGTTAAAGAAGGATGAGAGGGAAAGTGTTAATTGGTTTTCTTGTTTAAAAAATACATATTCTCTGTGTTAATGCGGGTTGACAAAGGTTTCTTGTTTGGAATTCCTTATATAACAGCTCAGCTCATCATGAGTGGTGAGGTCCTGACAGTGACAAAGTTTCCCCTGCCTATCACTTCTGTGACAGCTACCAAAGCCTTCTTTGGTCCTGGATGCCTGAAGTCTTCTTGCTTGCCTGCCTTTAACCTTTCAATGGACTACAAGATTTCCTTTTACACTCCCTCTTTGCTGTCTTTCAGTTTAAATGGTAACTTTGGGCTCTGACTTCAGTCTCCATCACACTACTGTTTCCCAGTGTGTTTTCCCCTGAATATAAACACATGCATAGTCTGTTTCATGGCAGCCAATCTTTTTTTCCCCACTGGAATGAAATCTTTACTTTCTTCCCTAACTTCTCACCTTTATCAATTTGTTTAACAACAGTAGTAAGAGAACGGCTTCCTAAACTTTGGCTTTGTTACTGAAAGTCTTTTAATTCCTTCAACTCTTTAAGGAATGTTTCCCTTGAAACAGATTCCCACTAATTTTCCTGTGTCATCTCAGCTCTGCCTCTTTGTCTCAACGTACTCTCCTAATACATACCTTTGTATTTGTCTTTGCAGTTTTTCCTCTTTCAAATGGAAAGCTCTTTAAGAGAAAGACTCTTAAAGTTATTTTCATATTGTTGATAAACAGCATTTCTATACCTCAAATTCTTACTGTAGTAACACAGTATGTACCAATGTATTAAGTTCTTAATGCTATTCCCACCAAAATAGACTAGAAACAAAACTGAGATGGAGATGATGCCTCTAACAGTGATGAAATGGGTTTTGTGACAGTATACAAAGTGTGTCCCATCTGCAGCCACATTTTAAAAGGTGTTCTGTACACAACTGTCCAGAACTGGTTCCTGTGTACTAGGATTTGGTTCTTGGCCCAGCAAGAGTCTCTCCAAAATAAATTATTTAGATATTTCTTTTATGTGACATCATAGGACATAGAAGGCAAAACAAACAGATCAACACTGATGTTAAAGAGAGGGAGTGAAGTCTAACATTTTTTATTTCTCCCCTAAAGAACATGGGTAAGCATAATGATTTGAAAGGCAGAGTTACAGAGAGAGAGAAGGAAAGACAGATACAGAGATCTTCCATCCATTGGTTCACTCCCCAAATGGCCTCACTGATTGGGCTGGGCCAGGCTGAAGCCAGGGGCCACAAGCTTCTTCTTAGTCTCCCACATGGGTGCAGGGGCCCAAGCACTTGGGCTGTCCTCCATTGCTTTCCCAGGCATGTTAGCAGAGAGCTGGATTGGAAGTGGAACAGCCAGAACTTGAACCAGCACTCATATGGGATGCTGGCTCTGCAGGCAATAGCTTAACCCACTATCCCACAGTACCAACTCCCCAAAATAGGGTTGTGTGTGTGTGTGTGTGTGTGTGTGGTGAGAACTTTTAAGATCTACTTTTTTAAAAATATTTTTTTATTTATTTGAAAAGCAGAGTTACAGAAGGAGGTAGAGACACAGAGAGAGGTCTTCTATCCTCTGGTTTAATCCCCAAACGGCTGCAATAGCTGGAGCTGAGCCGATCGAAGTCAGGAGCCAGGAGATTCTTCCAGGTTTTCCACGTGGGTTCTTGAGGGGCCAAGAGAGACAGACAGAAAAAGAGAGAAATCTCCCATCTACTGGTTTCTTCTCCAAATGCCTACAACCGAGAGGGCCAGGCCAGGCTGAAGTCAGAGCTAGGAACTCAGTCTGAGTCTCCCACATGCATGGCAGGGATTCAAGTACTTGGGTCATCACCTGCTGTCACCCAGGGTATGCATAAGTCGGAAGCTGGAATAGGGAGCAAAACAGGGACTTCAGCCCGGGGACTGTGGTATGGAATGTGGGCATCCCAAGAAGTGGCTTAACCTCTAGGCCAAACACTTGGCCCTAGAACCACCTTCTTATCAATGCTCAAGTACATTACATTCTTGTTAGCTACGTTCACTGTGCTCTGTGGCAGAACTTCAGAACTTACTCTTTCTAACTGAAACTTTCTACCCTTTCACCAACATTTCCCCAGCCCCTCCCCACTTTGTTTTCTCATTTTAACATCTAGGGATACTTTGCAGCCAGAGAGCTAGTATTGATGTTTGGGCTCAGGTTACTTTACATTTCATTTACAATTCTCTGGCCAATGCCCCAGTTTAAATAGCCATATTATTGGAAACAACATATCAATATCCAGGAGATACAGCAAAAGCAGGAAGTAGGAAATATTGAGAAGAAGATTTATAGCAATCAACACCTACTTCTTAAAAACATAAAGGTCTCACCCTATCACCGCACCTCCAGGAACTAGAAAAACTGAAACAAATCAAACCCAAAATTAGTAAAAGAGAAGAAATAAAGATTATAGTAAAAACAAGTGAAATAGAGTTATAAGCAAAAGATGAACAAAATGAAGAATCAGTTTTTCAAAATTGACAGACCCTTAGTTTCACTAAGAAAAACAGATAAGAAATGCAAATAAATAAATACATAGTCATATTACAACTGAAAGATGAGGGGCCAGTGCTGAGGGGTAGCTGGTAAAGCTGTCGCCTATAGTGCTGGCATCCCATATGAGCACCAGTTTGAGTTCCGGCTGCTCCACTTCCAATCCAGCTCTCTGCTATGACCTGAGAAAGTAGTGGAAGATGCCCCAAGTGCTTGGGCCCCTGCACCCACATGGGAGACCCGGAAGAAGCTCCAGGCTCTTGGCTTTGGATCTGCCCAGCTCCCGCTGTTGTGGCCATTTGGAGAGTGAACCAGCAGATGGAAGACTGACTCTCTCTCTCTCTCTCTCTCTCTCTACCTCTGCCTCTCTGTAACTCTATCAAATAAATAAATAAGAAGAAAGGAGAGAAAAAAAAACCTGAAATATGAGTTTATATCATATGATATCCCCTAAGAACTAGATCTTCGAGTCTAAAGAAGGGCAGTGCTGATTTAGCTGAGTTGAGCAAAATGCCCAAAGGTATCAGCATCAAGTTTGGTTTGTATGAATCAGACTTAGATTTTTGCAAGTCCTTAGGGAAGATTCTTTTCAGGAAAAGTCCTAGGAAAGAAATAGAACTATTTGGAAAAGTAAAGAAAGATCTGTGCTTTCTGTGTGGCCAAATTATCTTATGTGATTTATTAAAGTCTATGTTGATGACTGATGCCACATTAATTGTTTTATTTTCAAGTTGGAACTGTTTCACAAATACCATGATCTGTTTTCAAGGGCAGTTACTCATTTTTGTTTTGAAAGAGGCATCAAAATCTAAGTTTCAACTTTGTAAGAGACAGAAAAGAGGAAACAAGGACAAATGTCACTCTGAACACCCTAGATAAAACGTCTAAGAGAACTCCTGATTTTTCTCATGACACCCAGTAAATGATTCTACCAATCTCCCAGCCAGCAGACTGTCAACATTTGATTCACTCTTGACTCTGCTCTTCCTCTCATATCCCACTTGCAATTCATCAGCAAATCATACTGGCTCTGCTTTCACAAGATATCTCAAATCTGACCATTTCTCAATCCTCCCACTGCTGTCACTCATTGGTCCAAGTTAGCATATTGCAATCTCTTGCATAGTGTATTGCAATAGCCTCATTACTGATCTGCTCACTTCCACAACTTACCCCCTTCAACTTGATTATTAGCATTTCAGCCATGATCAAACTTTTTCAAAGTCATGCCACCTGCTTTTTAAAACCATAAAGTGGTTTCCCATGCACATACTTAATACAATTTCAAGTTATTTTCATGTTCTGAAGGCCTTACATAATCTGTCCTGATACCTTTCTGACCTCATGTCCTTCCTCTCTCTTTGTCAACAGCCTCCTGATATCTAGGCTTGACTCAAACACACCACTCCCCTTCAGGCCTTGACACTTACTTCTTCCTCAGTCAGGAATATTCTTCCCCACACTCCTCCCTCCCATTGGTCATGTGACTTCACTGCATTAAAAGTTTTGCTTGACATGCCTAACTAAAATAGCACACCACCCCCCTTCCTTCCTGGTCTTTCTCTATTCCTTTGGCGTAATTTATTTTTCTTCTTAACAATGGTATCTTCCTCCACTAGAGTGTCAGCTCTATGAAGACACCGACTGTGTTTTTTACATTGAACCCACAATGCCTAGAACAGTGCCTAGCACATAGTAGATGCCCAGTAAATATGTATTGGATGAATGACTTAAAACTAAGTTATCCATAATAGAATTTAGGAAATTTTAGAGTACAAAATTTGTTAACAGATGGCTTTTAAATACTTATAGGAAGATATTTTTAAATTTATTCTTGAAAGTGATACACCTTCATAATTCCTCTTTTATCTAATATTTATCTATTTTAAACTTATATATGCATTTTCATCTGAAAAATCTCTAGGGTAGAATTGTTATCTTATTTGCTAGATGAGGATAATTCAGATTCAGATCAATTAAGTTCCTGTCTCAAGACAACAAAGTTATTTAGTGTTGGAGCTGATATTCAAACATGGGTTTTCAGATTATAATCATATATTCTTTGATATTTCTGGCATGGAAGCAAATCAAAATTCCAATCATTCTACCTACATAAACAAATTTTCATTTGAAAGTCATCTTATAATTATGACTGCCTTTACCAGTTTAACCTTTTTCCTTTGCCGCTGTAAGTTTTCTTTGTCCTACTTTATCTGTCCTACTTTATCCTGAAATTTTAAAAAAGATAAATAGATTTAGCAGGAAATGCTAATGAGAAAAAGAATTCAACGATATGTATTGACTGGCTTCTATGTTCTTTGTGTATATAGAGATGATGATGAACAAAATAAAGTTAGAGAGACAGAAAAGTACAGAGAGATGTAAGGAATTGTGAAAAGTGAGCTTTGGGAACACTCTGGAGAGGCACCCAGTGTAGGGAAGGGAGGAAATTCTAGAGCAGTGACATCCCAGTTAGGAACTGAAGACTGCAGAACTCAGCAGTCTGGTTAAGATGGTCAAGGGAGTTGGGCACAGGGAGCAGCCCATGCAAAGGCTGTGTACAAAGACTTGAAGTCAGCACAGGTCAGGAGCATCTCAAGAGACTTTAAATACATTGAACTAACCACGAATTAGGCATTCAGTTTCTCTTCAAAGTTTTTCCTTAGGGGCCGACGCCGCGGCTCACTAGGCTAATCCTCCGCCTTGCGGTGCCGGCACACCGGGTTCTAGTCCCGGTCGGGGCGCCGGATTCTGTCCCGGTTGCCCCTCTTCCAGGCCAGCTCTCTGCTGTGGCCAGGGAGTGCGGTGGAGGATGGTCCAAGTGCTTGGGCCCTGCACTCCGTGGGAGACCAGGATAAGTACCTGGCTCCTGCCATGGGATCAGCGCAGCGCGCCAGCCGTGGCAGCCATTGGAGGGTGAACCAACGGCAAAGGAAGACCTTTCTGTCTGTCTGTCTCTCTCACTGTCCACTCTGCCTGTCAAAAAAAAACAGTTTTTCCTTAGGTCAAGTCACTTCACTATTTCTACCTCCAATTCTTATCTATAAAATGGAGACCGTGATATTTGGCCATTGTTATATACTACTAATAGTATATTTATGTATACTAATAATAGCTATAATTTGCAGAATGCTTATATATTAATCATAGCTATATACACTAACACTAATATACTAATAATAGCTATACTTTACAGAATGCTTATATACTAATAATAGCTATATATACTAACACTAATATATTAATAATAGCTATAATTTACAGAATACTTACTCAGTATCAAGCACATTTAACCATCCCTTTAACCTGTGAAATAGCTACTGTTATTATCCCTGTTTTACAGATGAGTAAACTGAGGCTTACAGAGGTCAAGTGTTCTCAAGTTTATACATCTAGGAAGTGTCACAAGTAGGATCTGAATTAGTTCTATCCAACACCAAAGTGTTAGTCATAAATACTAGATTAAAACATTAGAGGTGGGCATTCAGCCTAGTGGTTAAGATGCTAATTAGAACACCAGGGGGCGGGGCATCTGAGGGGTGAGCCTGGGGATGGTAGTGCTCTCTGTTGGTCTCTCTGCCTCTCAAATACATACATTTTTTAAAAATAATTAAAGAGAATGCCTACTTTTAAAAATTAAAGTGATTAAAAAACATGTATCTGTTATTCCCTAGAAATGATCCTGATTTTTTCTTATTATTTTGTTACAGCATGCAGGACGACAGTGTAGAAGCTTCTACTTCCATATCTCAGCTTCTAAGAGAGAGCTATTTAGCTGAAACCAGACATCGGGGAAACAATGAGAGAAGTCGAGCAGAGCCTTCCTCCAACCCTTTCCATTTTCCAAGTCCTTCTGGGGCTGCTGAAGGGGGCGGAGGCCAGGATGACCTTCCAGATCTTTCCGCCTTTCTGAGCCAAGAAGAATTAGATGAAAGCGTCAACCTGGCGAGATTGGCCATCAATCACGATCCTTTGGAGCAAGCAGATGAAGCTCAGGCTAGAAAACATCTTTCTTCTGACCAGATGAAACACTTGCCTAAATCCAACCTGGAGCCTAACTTCTGCCAGGATAACCCTCGAAGCCCTACCAGCTCTAAGGAGAGCCCCCAAGAGGTCAAAAGGCCACCGTATAGTTCTGAAACCCAGTCCAAGAAAGTGTTCTTAAATAAAGCGGCCGATTTCATTGAGGAGCTATCCTCTCTTTTCAAAGCCCACAGCTCCAAGAGGATTAGACCTCGTGCCTGCAAAAACCACAAGAGTAAACTGGAATCTCAAAGCAAAGTTATGCAGGAAAACAGCTCCAGTTTTTCAGATCTGTCAGAAAGACGAGAAAGATCTTCTGTTCCCATCCCTATTCCTACGGATACCAGGGATAATGAAGTAAACCATGCCCTTGAACAGCAGGAAGCCAAGAGGCGTGAAGCTGAGCAGGCTGCCAGCGAGGCAGCTGGCGGAGACACCACGCCAGGTTCTTCCCCTTCGTCTTTGTACTATGAAGAACCTCTGGGGCAACCTCCCCGGTTCACTCAAAAGTTACGGAGCAGAGAAGTTCCAGAAGGAACCCGGGTACAATTGGATTGCATAGTGGTAGGAATTCCACCGCCTCAAGTAAGGTAAAAATGTCCCATTAGTAATGTTTGGCAATTGCTTTCCATCAACCATGGTATTCCTAAGTATTATCTTTTTCAGTATATGTTTTCAAGCATTAGATACTGCATATAAAAATTATATATTAAACATGAAAAAGACAGTGTGTAAAGTAGGTGTGTCCAATAGATAATACTAAAAATACAATTTAAAATTTTCTAATAGCCACATTTTTAAAAAGTAAAAAGAACTAGGTGAAATACATTTTCACCTAGTTATATTTATTTACCTAATATATTTATTTACCTAATATATCAAAAAAGATTATGATTTCAGCATATAAGAATTATTAATATAAAAATTATTTTACCTTCTATTCATCATACCAGGGATTCAAAAATCCAGTGTGAATTCCACACTTAGAAAACATCTCAATTTGGATGCTAAATTTTTCTAGGAAAAACTTACTCTTCATTTAGATTTCATAAAATTTATAGTTGAAAGAGTAGATTAAAATACATTAAAGTTTTTTAATAACCAAATTAGGTATGAAATTTTTTAATTTAAATGAATTAAAATGAAACATAATTCCAAATTCAGTTCTTCGTTCACACAAGCCACCTTTCAAGTGCCTGATAGCCACAAGTGGCTAATGACTAGAATATTGAGCAGTGTGGGTCTACAGTCTGTAGCTTTGAAAAAAGAAAGCATTTAAGATCTCTACTCAATGAATAGTGGTTGTATTTTTAAAATTTTAATGAAAGTCATATAATAGGATACAGACTGATGGAATAAAGCATAAAATGGGTTGTGGCTAAGGTCAATTGACAGACTTATTTTACATGTATTAAAATTATGATAAACTTCTGATGTCAGCTTACTGAATGTTATTCCCCTAAATGCCCAAGTATTTCCCTGATATAACTGGTGAGTAACTAGCAAAGATATTTGTCTTTTATTTGCTTGGCTTAGTCACCTTTCCTGTGAAGCAATTAAAGTATAAGGTTCAGGACTCCTCACTTGCTTAGCCACTACCTAATTTTGTTTATTTATTTATTTTTAAGAAGTTCTTCCACATTTATGATCTGCAGGTCCCACAAAACCTGGAACCAGTCTTAGTCCCCAGGTGCTCCTTGTGAAATGTATTCTTTTTTAAGTGAATTCCTGGTGTAAATGTTGTCCTGTAAAAGTCACCTGGCCTCCCTAACCACCTAATTACTACTAGAATATTACTTCATTACTATTTCATGTATATTTGCTGTATATAAACAGGGCCTCGTCTTTTTTCCTTATGTCATAATCATAGGACATAGCGTTAATATTAATAATAGTATTTCTACTTATTAAATGCATGCAAATTCAAGGGATTCTGATCCAAAGATGTATCCATACATTGAATTTTGCTTTTCAATGGCAACATAAAACAATATCAAATATTTTTACAATGGTATAAATATTTTGCTATCAGTTTACGCAACTGACCTCCTTGAGGGCCAGGGTTCTTTGTATCTAGAGGATCAAGCACAGTGTCTGGCCCACAGTCACTCAGAAATGTTGAGTGAATTAATGCATAAAGAAAAGGAAAACAGAAAACTCAACCTAGATTCAATGCAGGAGTGAGACAGTTGACCTAGCATGTAGCAAAAGTTTGGAACTGAAGAATACAAGGCGGGTCTACCCTTGTCCTCTAAACGTGCCTGATGACCCTCCCAGGGACTTTGGTCAGTAATGCTAACAGGATGGCATTACAGCACCATGATAGGCATCTGGTCGGTCTAACTAAGTCGGCAAGCACTCAAGTTATGATATATGTTCAGCTTAGTTTAGTAATTGTCCAACCCACTGGCTTCTAGACATAGATCTGCTCTGAATACAAATAAGTAAATAATCTGGGCCAGTCAGGACTCATCTTTCTCATGTCTCAACCAGGACAATCTCAGATACAAGAACAAATTCTGTACACCACTGAGAAAAATCAACCAGGAAGAGTTATAACGTACTCATTCCTTTCAATAAAAAAATCTGGCAATCCCTCAAAAACTACTTAATCAAACAACTAAAAATTTACAAGTCTGCAAATTTAAAAGTCACAACAGTTTCATGTAGCAACACTAATTTTACCTGGGAAGAATTACTTTACTGATAGAATCCATGCCTGTATCCTCATTTTTTTAAATAAATTCACACTTAATTTCACAACTACATTTGTATTTTAAAGGAATAGACTTATCCAGGTAGACTTATAGCTGTCATTATTTTCCGAAGCACATAATTTTTATAACTCTAAGGAGAAAGCAAATATTTAATTAGTTTACACTATGTGCTTGATGCTGTTGTCAGTGCAATGACAGAGACAGTATCAGTGTGTCCTTGCCCTCAAGGAGCTTGCAATCCAAAACAGAAGTCATCCTAATTTTTATAGCATTAACCACAGATACTATCAGGATTCAGAGAAGGAATGGAGGACTAGAAAAGTCAAAGAGGACCTCAGAGATGTTGGAAGATTTTAGTTGAGCTTTGAAGAGTGAAATTTGCTCATGCATCCAACAAATACCTTTTGAGTTACTGAAGGGATTCATTAAGGGTACAAAACCCTCGGGAATGATTGGAGGTCAGTCTACACTGCTCGGAGAGGGTAGCTCACAGTGTGGTAGAGAAGGCAGACAAACATGTAACAAAAAAAAAAAACACTGTAAAACGGTGGAACAAGGGCTACAGCAGAAATATATATAGGATGCAGTGGTGACTCGGGGAAGACATGAGGCGCTTTGCCTGGAGTGTAGGATAAAGGGAGTGTTAAAACACACAAGAAGGAAATAGAGCAGTAAGAGTGGAGGGGGAAAGCAAGTGCAAGAAGACCCAGAGGCAAATATTTTCAGGGAAACACAAGTACTTGGCCTTGGCTATGTCAAGAACATGGGAAAACAGGTGAGGAAAGATCAGAGATAAGATTAAAGAGCTAGGCAGATGGGATGGGTACTTTCAATAGATCAACTTAGCATGTTTAGATAAGGGCACAGATACTGGAACTGGAATGATGTTTTTACATGAAGAGGAAGAGACTGATTTAAAAGGAAAGGAGAGTAGAGCCAAATGATTTTGAAGAATCCTGAAAGCAAAACACAGTAGCTCAGACTTGATTTCAAAACAAACCAGAATCCATTTATACTAATGCATAGGAAGGTAACAAGATGACAAGGAGCACTTAAGGAAAATTAGTCTAGAAGAATGCGTTAGAGTGGAAATGAGTGGAGCCATGAGGCCACTCAGGAAGCTGAATAAAGTATCTCAGACATCAGATGCTCTGGTGGGAACGGGCTGGGTACAGCGGGGAAAAGAAGAAAAGACGTTAGAGAGTAAGTGATATTTAAAAGAAAAGAAATCAAGTGAACTTGGGGACTGACTAGATGGGGAGGAGGAGAAAAAATCACAAGTTCTGAGAAAAAGGAGGAGTGGCTGATTTGTAGAGGAGATTGCTGGGGATTTGAGTCTGAGGAGATGAAGGGGTCAAATCCAATAGGCAAGCAGGCAGAAATGCAGGCCCAGAGGCCAAGTGAGAGAATGGTGAAACAGAGACAATTCAAGCTGTGCCATGATGTTGGGAAAAGTCAGGACAGCAGCCCTGTAATTACAAGGGGGCAACATACATTGTCAACACTTAGAACGAAATTCCAGTTGTTGGTGCAGATCGGTGCTGTAGTAATTGTATTTTCCAAACTTCTTTTGGCAGTAACTTCTCCCTCCACCAAGGGTAACATAATACATTACCTCAACCACGTATCACACAGACACACACAGCTTTAAGATAAAACTGGTGCTGCTGGGATTGAAGAGGGGTGAGGCAGAGGTAGGCTGGAGCCCTACCTGCTTGCTCCCCACTGAATCTCCTGTGGCATCTCCCACGACACAGGAGTACAGGTTTTGACCCAGAGGATTCTTTTAAAAATCCATTAAAGCAATACAATATTAAGATATTTTGATTCGCTAAATGTGAACACCATAGTCAATAAGGATAGTATCCTTTTTGCTATTTTGGCAAGAAAATATACTAAGTACAGTGGGAAACTAGGTACTCTTGTGTGTAGTCAGTGTTTTACCTATGTGCTCATAACCCTATTTAACAAACTGAAAAAAAAAATCATTTTTATTCCTATTTTTGACTTTCAAGTTATTGGGTAGAAATTACTTCGTCAGGAGTGTGGAGTCTTCCATCACTGAAGCTAGCATTTTTGTCGGCTTATGGACCTTGGATTAGGCTTCACTGGAGGAGTTGTCTCAGAAAATGAAATACACTCATGCTTTATGCACAGATGAAAGAGTCTGCAGGAATTCACAGCAAACAGCCGTGACCCCTTTTTGTATCCTGATGCCAAATTCTTTTCCCAGGAATGTACAGCTGGGTCACCAACTATTTGCTGGTATACAACCTTCTGGGGCAGCACAAATTTACCTTGCGTAGACGTGAATGCCCACTGTGGTTGTTAGATTTTGTTATTGCTACTTGTGGACATTTTCCGGCAGGTAGTATAGCTAGGAAATACAAAGGAAATGAAATAGTATAAAGAAAAGGATAATGTAAATGCGATATGATAATTTCATGTTACATTATTTTAGGGACTTTTCCTTCTGCCTTTTGGAAAAACCAAGATACCTTTATTCACTTACTCATTCAACAAAGAAGTGCCTATTTATGAGCCATGTACTGTTGTAAGCACTAACTTTTTTTTTTTAGCTTTCATTTTATTCATTAGTCAGAAATACAGAGAAAGAGAGAGAGACAGAGAGACAAAGACACACACACAGAGATCTTCCATCTACTGGTTCTCTCCCCAAATGATTGAAATGGCCAAGGCTGGGCCAGGCCGAAGCCAGTAGCCAGGAGCTTCATCTGGGTCTCCTACATGGGTGCAGGGGCCCAAGCACTTGAGCTAACTTCTGCTACTTTCCCAGGTGCATTAGCAGAGAGCTGAATCAGAAGTGGAGCAGCTGGGATTCGAACTGGCGCCCATATGGGATGCTGGCGCTG